GCAGGCCTGGGCGACAGGGGCGGCGGGACCAAGACGTGCCGCGGTGCCGCCGCCCGGGTCCTCTGCGGCTTTGCTCCGCGTCTCCTTGGTCTGCTGGGGGCCCTCCCCCCCAGCAGACTAGGGAGACACGGAGCAGCTTTTCTCGCCCCGGAGGAGGCGGGCAGCGGGACCGCTGCGCGTCTGGGCGGTCCCGTCGCCTGCGTCCTCTGGGACGAGAAAAGCCCCGTTCGTAAGTACGGATCGGACGTAAGTCGGGGACTACCTGTAGTTAGATTCATGATTTCTCTTCGTCATTCATTTTTCTTACTGCAGCAGGCAAGAGAGAGAAATTTATTGGTAGGGATTAAGGGTCAGGTACAAACAAAACTACTTTAAACTTTTTTAAAAAAATATATATATATATTTGAGTTTGTGTCTCTGAAAAATGTCTTAATTTCCTTAATAGATGCTAGTATATTGCCAGTAAACTATTTTATTTTAAAAAAAAAATCTGCAAATCTGTTTTGATTAAATGTCATGGAGTAGCAAATGTTGGTAGAGGGTTTTTCCAGACTGGCTCCTTCTTTAATGCTCTTCCTTATTATTGCCTGTTGTTATGTTATATTATAGTAAGGTGCCATTTTCAAAAGCCCTTCTCTCCCAACTAACACCATACATTTATACTGACAGCCCTAAGATTTAAGATATATTCTCTTATTGAAATGTGTGCATTAATGGAATAAAGTGTATATGTCGAGGGGGATTGTTAACTACTGAAAACCTTGGAAGATTAAATATTGTAACTAAATTACATGCATCTTTCTCTGACTTATTTTAACAAAATCCTGATAATGAGTTAAAATGATAGACTTAGATTTATGAAGAGTTGTCTTAGAGGTGACTGGAAATCATTTTCAGTCGCTCATACAGGTTGGACCTCCCTCGTCCCGTACCCTCAGGACCTGACCAGTCCGAACGAGGGGATTTGTTGGATCAGGGGAAGTCCCTTCCAACGTGGCCTGTGCTGTCCGCTCCATGGCTGCCACCAGGGCCAGAGCCCTGCAGCTGGTGCTCTGGGGTTGCTGCTGCCCTCCTCCTCCTCTGTTCCGGAGAGACCAGAATGTCCTGCTGCACTGCTCTCCCCTCCACACACCCCCAACACCCTGCCTCCGCACACCCTGGCTGAATAGCCTGCCACTCCTGCCCCATGGCCCAACATCCCTGTACCTGGGCTTTGTGATCCAGGAACATCTGTGGTCCAGCCAGAATCCTGGTTAAGGGAGGTACAACATGTAATGCAAACCAACTCGATTCCAAAGACTACTCGATTAGCTGATTAATCAAAATTTAACATCCCTAGCCCGGATGCCTGATCTCCCCTGATCTGGCAAATTCCCTTTTTTCAGGACCTTGCCAGTCCCGAGGGTGCTCGCCAAGGGAGGATCAACATGTAACTTCCTAACATGGAATCTTAAAATCTCAGATGTATCCTTGCTACTTGAATTTAGTACCATTTCTCGTCTTTTAATCTAATAGATTTATCTGGCGTTGCTTGGGTCTTTAACTCAATTAATATTTATTTATTTAAATCATTGCTCTGGGTTGGGGCTGTGGATGAGGGGTTCAGTATGCAGTCAGCCCTCTCTCTGCAGGGCAATCATGTGCATGTCCCCCGGTTGGGGCAAGTTTATGTTCGTCTGCTTCCTGTGCTCTGCTACAGTTTTCGCTTTGGCAGGAAACTGCATTTTCCCCTCGCTCTCTGACAACAGCCAGTAATGTTCTCATATGAATCTGGAGTGAGGGGAAGTCCCCACTTCCCTCAAGAGCATCTGGGGGTGGGAGGCTCCATATTGGAGCAGCCCCGAAGGCCCCCTCCCCCCCCACCAGCCAGCTCATTTCACCTCTCTGTTGATTCTATCTCTTTTCTGTATGGTTTTCTGTGTCCCTGTACAAATTGGGGGTGAGGAGGGAGAGAGCTTCAGTTGCCTCCTCCCCCTATCCCCCCGCCCTTCTTAAAAGTGACTTTTGGGGGCTGGAGGCTCAGGTCTGGGGCTGTCTGGGATGGGGGTGATTGTCTCTTTGCTGTATGGTTTTATGAGAAGCAATCCCATTCCAGGCATCCCATTTTCCTGGCACACCCAAACTCTTACCTTGCCTTTACATTAAGATAAGGGGAAGCTGTATACTGAATTTGGTGGAGGAGTTCTTAAATAAGGATACATGAACTCTCTCAGTAATATAGTAGATGTAAAGGCTTCTAAAACTTTACAAATAGTGTATGGGGGCTCATGCTTAGTCAGGTATTTTTTCCCAGGCTATTGCAAGAGTATCAACAGTTTGGGTAGCTTAATGGATTAGTTTTTTCCATGTTGGGAATAAATCTTTTAAAACATCAGTGTTAGATATATTTTAATTTAAAATGTGTGCCCACTGTTTAGAGAAGATAGCCATGCTGCCAAATATAACAGTACTCCTTCGTTTCACCCTGTAATAATTTGTTTTTTCAAATCTGACCTTCTGAAAATTCCTGGAGGCTAACTTATGGCAATGTTTTACCAGTAAGCTTCAAGGATTTTGATTCTGCCAAATGAAGACCAATGTACTACATCAGTAAGACATTTACATGATACAATTCATGTGATTAGGAGATATTTCAAAGGTCATTCCATTATTATCTCTGCAGTTACCACATTTCGTAATATATGCTAAAGGTTGATTTTTTTTTTTCCATCCTGAGTTTTTTTGTAAGTGGGAAATTATTTCATTCACTAGTATGATAATAACCTAAATGTCATCAAAGATCTGAAATACATTTGGATTTTGGATTATCAAGAAAATCTTTGATGAGACAGGTGTGGTGGTGGTGCTATGACACTATTTTAGATAACTGCAGTTTGGATATTGAGAGCTTGAACTGCATTACAGGCAGTCCCCGGGTTACATGGATCCGACTTACATCGGATCCCTACTTACAAACGGGGAGAGGCAACCCCGCACTAGCTGCTTCCCCCCAGCAGACCAGCGAGACGCGAAGCTAGCGCCCCCTCCCCAGCAGACCAGGGAGACGCGGAGAGGCTTTTCTCAGCAGACACCTCAGCTTGAGAATAAAGGACTGAGGGAAGTGAGGTGTGGGAGAATAAAACTGAGCTCTGGAGAAATGTTTGGCTAGAGTTTCCCCTACAATATGTACCAGTTCCGACTTACATACAAATTCAACTTAAGAACAAACCTACAGTCCCTATCTTGTACATAACCCGGGGACTGCCTGTACTGTTTGCTAGCTAATCATTGATGATTTAGCCACATGCACATTACAGGCTTCTGATGACATAGGTGTGATCAGAGGTGTGAGGAGGTCTGATCTGAGGGCATGTCTATACAGCAACATTATTTCGAAATAACTAGCATTATTTCGAAAAAACATCTGCATCTACACAGCAGGTAGTTATTTTGACATAATGTCAAAATACAGTACTGTCAAGCTGGAGGACTTTTTACTCCGACTCCTGTAACCCTCATTGTATGAGGAGTAAGGGAATTCAGAGGAAGAGGGCTCTATTTTGAAATAAATGCTGTGTAGACACTCCCAATTTCGAAATGGTTTATTTCAAAATAAATTACGCAATTGACTTAGCTTATTTTGAGTTAAGCCCTGCTGTGTAGAGGTAGCCTGACAGACCCAGCTATTCCAGCAAAACTCCCCAGTGTAAACACAGTTATCTCTGCAATACTGTTCTTCTGTTATAGCTTGTTTAGGTTATCTTATGGAGTTGAGTCTTGTGGGGAATGGGGAAGAGGAAACGGAATAAGCTATATCGGCAAAAGTGTAGTATAAGCTATGCTATATGAGGCATTTTGGTGGTATAGGATACTGGTATAACTATAAAAGCAGTGCATTCCCAATAGGGATGTAAAGGTTAACCAGTTACCCAATAAGCATTAGCCCTACCAACATGCTTACCTGGTAGCCAGTTAACCGAGGGGCTAGGCCCAGCTGGAGCAAATTTCCTATCCATGTCACAGCACGATGGGGCCAGCTGGCCGGAGCAACCTCCCCTCCCCCACATCTATGGTTGGCTCGTTAAACTATTATTTAATAGGTTAACTTTTTAAGTGGGTATTTACATACCTAGTTCCTATTGTAGACATGGCTTTGATTAATCACTATATACTTAAATCAAAATCAGGCCTAGGGTGGGGTAGGATACCATCAGGATTTAAAGGGGGAGCAATTTTTTTCTTGATATACTCCCAAAAATTGCTAATGTACTTTTTCATTGAAACTAGAGTTCACGATAAACTTATGAAAAACATTAAATAGCTTTGCTATCCCTGCCGAAGGGTTAGATGAGAGAATGTGTAATAGTATATTAAGTGGTTACTTTTGTATTGTGATTACATTTTGGGCACCCATCTAGAGGACTGGTTTTAACTGAATACAATAGGTTATTTGTTGTTTTACTATAATGCTAGTAAAAATCTTCATTACATGATGATGTTGTAAAAATGGGATCTACATTGTTATTTTTAATCTATAGTTTTCCACATGATCGTATATAATGTTGTAGGGATGTACATATACATAGTGTGGTATTTTTGGGATACTATTTAAACGTTAATACACAATCAGATGCTCATTGTATGTGAAATGTTTGCTGAACTAATCTGTTAATTGAAAATATAATAAATATTAATCACTGTGAAGACCTTTAGAAGTAGCATTCTGTGCTCTGTTGACATTTTATTCCTTCATCTTATGATAGCTCTTTTACTTCAGAAGGAAGTTTCAAATAAACCCTGTTTTCATTTGTTCTGAAATGCTGGTTACTTTTTGACCAAAAGAAAAGTAATATTTTCCCTTCACAGTCTTTTTTCCTGCCATGTAATAATGACTGAGAAAGTTGGGAAAAGGAGTTGTCAGTACTCAATATATTGGCACTGATAAATGAGAAAAGACTAGCTGGATTAGTAGCTATTATTTATATTCTCTTTTACCATAAAACAAACTAATAATGGGTAATGTGAAGCATTTCCCCTGTTTTACATAAAGCTTTTGTTTGGGCTCTGGGGAGCAAGATGTGTGTCCCCTAGACTTACAAAATTTGTTTAATTTCTAGGTATTACTTGTGGTCGAACTTGTCTACCTGTTTTAGGAAGAATTGGGACTTTTGATACTCAGTCTGTAAGAAGGATTCCTTTTAGAACTTTTTCAGAAACACCAGCATACTTTGCTTCAAAAGATGGCGCGAGCAAGGATGGTTCTGGCGATGGCAATAAGGTAGTCTGCATAAGAACCTATTGCATAAAGGGATCTCTTAACTAAACTCTTTTCTGAAATTGTTACCCACTGTTACAAGTCACCTTTCAGATTACTGTAACTGAAAATATTAAGAGGAAAATATTTTCATTCTATGGTTTGAGTAGTATCAAATGCACAAATACTTTGTTTATAGTCACTTTCTCTATTGTTTGGGTCTTTCAAACAGCACAAAAAGAGAATTATTTTTCAAAATATTATGCAATGTGGTTATAAAACCACAAACATCTGCAGGGACTAAGAATTAGTATGTGAAACTCGTAACACTTTTAGTTTCTTTAGAAAACCATAAAATGTTTGGTTTAATTTTCTGATATGTTGCTGTGGTACTAAGGAAGAATGCTTTGTAGAAAAGATTAATTGTAGTTTATATGTTTAATTGCTACTCTTATTAGGGACTTTTAATTCTGTTTTACCCCATTCTTTCACTTGTACGTGCAATTAATAAGATTCATCAGGTATATGATTACCTTATATACTGTTCCTTAGTCAGAAAGTAGGATTTTGGCACGCGTGTGGGGTATTTCAATAATTTTTCCTTAGTGATATTTCCTGGCATATAGAATAGTGATAGAAATGTTGCCGTGTTAGTCTGGTGTAGCTGAAACAAAATACAGGACTATGTAGCACTTTAAAGACTAACAAGATGGTTTATTAGATGATGAGCTTTCGTGGGCCAGACCCACTTCCTCAGATCAAATAATGGAAGAAAATAGTCACAACCATATATACCAAAGGATACAATTAAAAAAAAAGAACACATATGAAAAGGACAAATCACATTTCAGAACAGAAGGGGGGTGTGGGGGGGAGGGAGGAAGGTAAATGTCTGTGAGCTAATGATATTAGAGGTGATAATTGGGGAAGCTATCTTTGTAATGGGTAAGATAACTAGAGTCTTT